TATCAAAAAAACATAGTGGTAGCCTGAAAATTTAAAATTTTGTTCTGTTCTGAAAGGTGATCCTGCAAAAAATGGTATTGTAGGTTTCCACTGTCATCTTTGTTATTTCTGAATTAATTATGTTCTGTTTGCTACTTTAAAAATCCCTCCTCCCTCCATACCCCCACCACCAGCCCTGCAAGCATTTGGAATCTCAAAGTGAAGATGTTCTTGCATTCCCTCTGGCCTGTGTACCATCCGTCACTCTTGATAAAAATGTTGCAGACCAAATATTGTTCATGGTTACATATGTGCAGGCTAATGATTTTAAATAAAAAAGCATTATTTTCAAAGGCTCTCAGTTGTGACACGATTTGACCCTTCAGTGAAAACTTCTTTTCATCTATGTTGACTATATAATCTTGAAGAAGAAAAAAGTAGTAAAACTACTATTCAAGTAATAAATCATGATTTACAGTACCCGTAAGGACGGTATCTGTGTAAATATGAGGTGCCATATTTAGTCTCTACAAAACAGAATTTAATTTCAGGGACTATTTTTTCAAAGTATCAAATATGTGTGTTTGTATATGTCTATCATATGCATGCCAATAAGTGTGGCAAATCTACTTCCAGATGTTTGTGCAAATGTACATGCCTATAATCCTAAATCTTTCACAGTGCATAGGATTACATAGAATTGAAAATTTAAAATGACATAAAACATTGTTCCGATATTTTAGATTCTCCATCTTTGTATTTCAGGATATCCATATCTACTTCAGCTTTACTAAACCTGTGGAAGAGCATAATTCCCAGCAATGGTTAGTCTCCTGTGTTATCTTGCTGTATTACAGTGCTAAGACCAAGGAAGTGGTCATCAAAACTGTGGTCTTCTATGTGTGCTAGGTGTAGGGTCCTTCCTACCCAGGGTTCTCTCTAAGAGTTTCCATCCATGAATGGAGTGAGTTTTGTCTTGTGCACCTATATTGAGGTCATGTGCGCTTGTTCGGATGTGTGCCACTGTGGCAACCCTTCCCCACCAGTTACTAACAAACATATTTCCAGTTACTAACAAATATCCTCTCACACACGCGCGCGCACATCCACACACATACCCACCTCTCTCTCTCTCTCTCTCTCTCTCTCTCTCTCCCTCTCTCTCTCTCTCTCTCTCTCTCACACACACACACACACACACACACACACACGTACGTTATGGAAGAAAAAATACTAAAACAGCCCTTTCCCAGTCACAATGAATAAAATGACCTATTAAATCAGCACTTTCACCGACACATATTTATTACGATGGCTGACCCTAAGAGCCAGTGTACTGTCTTTGTCCCGCAATCTGCTTATTGAGTACCCCTGCACGATGTGATTTGTCACCAAATCCTTACAGCCATTCTAAAGGAAAAGGAGGCTTCCTAACAAATTAGCCTGTAAATAATGAATTGTGATGGTTGTAGCAGGTGCATGAACAATCCCATTTAAATTGTTTAACTATAAAAAATTTAGTTAAGGTCAGATGGCTGAAACACGAAAGAAAAAGATGGGACTCAACATTGCTAAAATACAGAAGTTATCAAAACCCAGGGCAAAAGATCTCAGCTGGAAAAAAAAACCAACCTTGGTCAAAGCTTAAATATAAAAATGAATAGCCATTTAGAAATGTAAGCAACTTAAATAAGTCATTTGTGCATAACTTGCAACTTACAC